GGTTGAGGTATTCATTGCTGCATATGTCTTCAAATGCAATGATTGCGTAAATTAATGTTTCAAATTACGCTTTATACGCGCCTGCCATGGCAGCTTCATGTTCATAATTATTTTGAAACTCTAATGTCATACAATTTTAAGTGTAAGAAAGCTCATTGCATTGATTATAAATATAAATTTCAGTATTTTATTATAATTTAAGCTTCTGCAACTCTAAAAAAACATGCCTCATAGCTTCAAATTTATACTTGGCCATAATCTACCAGACTGCTATAAACTACAGCTGTAATTGGGAGAAAACATATTTGTTATGACCTTTTATTTCTCTATAAAAAAGCCGTCTAGACTGTATTTGTAAGCATCCTTAAAGTAAATTATTATAAGCTCTTTTGTAAGATAATTTATCAATAAATATCTGTAGAAATATCTTTATTTGCGCGCCATTTGCATTTGAAACAGGAAAATTAGCTTGTTACGTGTTTGCGAGCAGTCATTTATTAGGTAAATCTTTTCTAAAAGTCTGCTTCAAATATATAAGTTAGCAAATAAAATGATTTTGAGCAAAATTTCATTAAGCTTAGTTTCGGCAGTCGAGCTGTTATCCATTCAGAGTCTCGAGTGGAGCACAGAGTGAAGTAGAGTTGCATCCATCTACTGGCAACAAAATTAATGTTCTAAAACAGACAAACCATTTAACCCAACAAAACGCTGGGGCTGCTGCAACACAAACAAACCACAAGCTGCACTCATCACTTGCAGCTAACAACGTCGCCAATTCGTAGTTGAAACTCTGACTCACTCCCTCTCTCTCTCTCACTCTCGCTGCCAGTCACTCAGTCTCACTCTCACTCCTTGGCTTTACCGCAGTTAATTTGTTGTACAAACCCGCACACAAATAAAGCAGTCAGCACACAAAACAGCTGCAGAAATCGTTTGCTTTGAGCCAACAGGCAACTCTTTATAGCAGCCACTGGCTGACTGTTTTTCAAATTTACAGCACGTCAACAGGCAGCAGAGAGCTGGCATCAGCTACAGCTGCAGCTACAACTGCCGCCCCCACGCACAGGACTTAACGTCCTTTGGCCAGTTGGCGCAGCAACCGCACAACATTAACCATAAATGTCAGCAGTAGATATGAGTTGGCTTTTCGTTTGCCTTTAAATCGCTCAAATAGACAAATATTCACATATTACGCATACGCGCTGTTGTTGCGCCAACAAATTCAAAAGCTGACATTGGCTGTACCCAGCGATGGTGACTACTAAAACGTTCACATGACCAAAAATTGTATTTAAATTTGTGTATAGTTTTGCCTCGGCTTTCGAATTAAGGTTTTCGAGTTGGAAATATATGTATGAAATATTTTATAATGCAATCTGATGCTCTGCTGCAAATATTAAACATTCTAAATATTTATTTAGCGAAGAAGAAAAGGATTATTTAAATTTGTGTTTGGGTCTATCAAAATTATTTTCAATTTTGCCCTCAAGAAAATTAAAAAAAAGTACTTTAAAAAGGCTTCAAAATGTACAGTTTTGCAGCATTAATAACTTTAAAAAAATACCCCAAAAGAATTCATTAAATTTTCTAAAATATATGCCTTTAATAACTAGACTTCGTAGTAAAAATATATAATTTAATATAAGATTGTGTGTTAAAATTAACAAAATATATTAGATGTGTTTAAATCTACCTACATCTACATAAATTCAGAAGTATTTTGGTATTGCGAAAGATCGTTAACTGCAATAAGAAGCTTACCCAAAACAATTTGCGCATATTATTCAACAAAAATATAAAACGGGTAATTGGAGTGCACTTATGAAAAATATATTCATCCATAATATTTTATATCGATATTATAATGTTAAATATTCCGCTGAAAATCCATCCATGTGTGAGTGAGAGATTTGGCAAAATGACGTTTTTCATATATTTTCGTTTTCTCTTTTGGTTTCGACTTATCTGCGAGCAGCACAAAACTTAGTCACAATTAAATAGTCCCATATATATGCAGATTTTTGACTTAAATTAAATTCACTTTTACTAGGTGATAAAATAAATTTTAGTATTTTAAATTTTTTATTTATTGTTAATTAAGTGATAATATTAAATTCTATTAATGTGTTCATAAAAATATTTCTTAACTAATTTTAATTTAGATATTTATGTTTGTATTATTTATTTTTTTTATATTTATTATTATTCTAATTATTCATTTTATTAATATTATTCTTCTGAGATAATAATTGATGTCAAAAATAAGAAACACCTACGGTGTTTGTGTTCTTTATATATAAATATATATATATACACAAAATATATATATTTATATTGTATATGTATAACTCATATTGCTGCTGCTGACACACTCAATTGAGGATACATTTTATTCAAGCACTTTTATTTCTATCAAATTTTTAAGTGTGTTCGAGCACTGCTCAAATGCTAAATTCAGAATGCAAAGTGCAAAATGCAAAATGCAAAATGCTTAACTCTGTTGCATACTTCGACTCTCAGCTAGCAGCAACAGCAGCTCACGTACTTCAAAAAATGTCCCATTAAACTATGGCCATAAAATCAGAGCGAAACTGCAACGAAAAAAGAAAATCTGCAGTTGGAAAAGTTTTGCTGGCCGCATGGCAAACACGTATCGCATAGATGCTGCAATTGTTGTACCGTTAGCATTTTGCTGGCCATCTTTTATGGTCAAGTTGAAAGACCACACACGGACAAATATATAGCAAAAGCTATACTATATACATATTTCATGTGTGATTTTTATTGTGTACAAGAGAATTTGAAATTTTCCTTGTCAAGTTAAATGCTCAAGTGTTTATTTCATGCCAGTTTGCTGTGTTCGAAAGCACTCAGACACTGCATAAATCTGCCCAGATTGTCTTGTATATATAGTCCACTATAGATGTTACTACCGACTGCGTCCTTTCGCGCAATCATTTGCGGCTATTTGCGTGCTCATTGTTAATTTGATTGCCAAGTTGCGATAGCGACAAACTCCTCGACTGCTGCTGGCTGTTCGAGTGTGTGTGGAGTGGGCGTTGCCTGGGCGCATAATTGAACAATAAATTAAATAAAGGCGCTCGAGGCTGACCAGGTAAATATAGAGCCCAAATTGCATTTAGCTCATGGCCATTTTTAGTTGCCATTTCGATTTGCGAACCAATCGAACTGTTCGCACTGATTTCTCTAGGGCTTCGCATCAATAATGCACGCCTCACTGCCTTTACAGCTGCGGCGGAAAAATAGTTAGTAGTACTATATAGATATGTTAAAATGTTGCATGCAATAGTTTTTTGACGGGTTACATGCAAATTTTAAGCGAAGTTTTTTCACTCAGACAAAAAGCAGAAGAAACTATATTTATTATTATTAAAAAATTATATAAATATGATTTTCTTTAAATGTATATATATTTGTAAAATAATGGAAAAAATATATAATTATTTGAAAGTCTGAGGATTTTTAACACAGTTTTAATTGGATTTAGTAAATAGGAACTTGCACTTAATTTCGGGAACAGTAAATGTGAAACCGAAATCAAACAGGTTAGAAAATTTAACGGCCTATGCACTGCGCTGGCATTGACTTTTGTTGGTGGATATATTTTCTTTAAGCTGAGCAAAAATTTTACCGTGTGCATTGACAGTGCAATACTCTCCGTTAGGCTGGCCGTTGAGCCTGACGACATTGACGGTATTTGAGAGATAATTCTAACCTGCTAACCACAAATATATTAGATTCTAAAAATATTAAATTATTTTAGTATAAAAAAATTAAGAAGAACAAATTAAAAATTTTCATTATATTTTCGTCATATTTCCTTAAATTTCCGTCCAAAACTGATTACACAAAAGCCGAATTTGCAGTAATATTTATTTATGATAATTTTAAGATCTGCCTGATTTAGCTAATTAATATATGCTCACATCTATTTTGAATATTGCATTTCTGTGTGCAATTCACAGCTGTGAATTAATTCTTTTTTTTTTTTAGCTATTTTGATTAAATATTTATTTACGAAATAAAAATCCCAGCAGGAAAATTTTAAATTAGGGTGGCTCAAAATGTACTTATTTGCATAAGCGGATGCATTTAGTGACTATTATTGATATTGGTTAAACAAGCCACAGGCGAGTAATACAAATATAAATATTAATGTGGTACATATATGGCAAGAGTTATACTTTCATTTCCAAGAGCTGTATAAAATAGTTGTCAATTAGAAAAATATTCAATAATAATTTATAATTTATTTTTATTGTATACTAAACCTGTTGAAAATAGTAATTTATGGAAATTACGTTTGTTAAAGTATGTATAATAATGAAAACTAAGCGTGGCCAAACATTGTTGTACAAACATTATTGACAAATAATACAACAATTTTTATATATATATTTTTATATAAAGCATATTTTGATTATATGTTATATATTCTTCATTTTAAAATTGATATATTTATGATACATTTTTGATAATTGTTTTAAAATGTTATTTATAAAGCCATATTAAATAAATGAAACAAAGGCCCGCTGAAATACTTCAAAAGCGCCAATCAAACCCATTGATGATATTTTATCTAACCTCTATAATTTCTGCCAACAGCAGTGAGTAGCAGCCAATAAATTATATCGATGCAGAAATGTAGCAAATTAATGAAAGCAAATTTGATTTGTTGGTAAAATTGTTGTACCAAATGAAATGTTGTCAAATTCTATGAAATGGACACAAAATTGTTATCATTTTTAAGCAGTAGTAAAATGAAAATTTTGATAAAGCTAAAGCGCATTAAATTTAATTAGCGGCTAATCAAATATTTATGCCTTTTATTTAAATGTTTGCAAAGGCAAAAACGTTTGATGTTCGGAACACAGGCTTTTAAACGAGTTCACGGTCTGGCGCACCTGTAGCACCTGGTCGAGCAGGCGACTCCAGAGAATGAAAGCATGCAAACAAAAGCTGTGGCTTTGAGCCAACACTCAATAGAGTTAAAATTTTCAAATGCAAAGTGAACTGACAAAATCGAAAGCTGTTCCTAGAGAATATGAGCCGGCTATCAGTGAAATCGGTTAGACCAAGTACGTAAAAAAATCTTAGAAATATAATCAAAAATGCCAATTCTGACTATACCGGCCACAGCTCTAGGGAAGTTGGACAATCAATCGGCGTATGTACAAATTGCAGTTGGTGCTGGCACTGGCTTCGTCGTTGGGTATCTTTTTTTCAAGGTTAGCAAAATGCTGGCCGTGTGCATCGGCAGTGCAATACTGACAATCGAGCTGGCCGTCGAGTCGGGCCTCATCAAAGTCGACTGGAGCAAGATAATGGAACAACAGCAGGCACTGAATACACCAGAAAACCGACAATTGGCACTCTCGCCATTTACGCCTCCAGATCATGCCGTTAATCTCGACAAGGCCAAGCAAGTCATAATGTCCAGCGCACGGCTCTCGGTTGCCATTTTGGGCGGGTTCTTTCTAGGGTTTGGATTTTCATAAACTGAATGAAGAATTGTATTTATAAATCAGAATATTAAGGCGAAATTTGTAATACTAAAGCACATCAGAAATATAAGTGACTATATTTTTCACTCTTATAACTCCTTCACTTTCCCCGCCTCTGTTTCTCTCTTCTCTGTTGTACTTTACACATATTAAAAGTTGTTGGTGCACATAAAACTGGAAAACTTGAAAGTTTTAACAACATTTTCATGCGCTTTTAAACATTTCAATTTACAAGCAACGTAGCCCACATAAATTTATGCATAAGCAAAGTTTTTCATATCCAAGGCTACGCGCTAAGAGCGAATGCCGTAAAGCCAAAGAGCGGAGTCTAGCGGCCGGAGGGTCGATTGGGGCTCAGGTTACTTTGTGTGCGGCATATGTGTTAGCCAAGTGTCACATTTATCGTCATCAGTGTTGGGGCTTTGCTGATATGTGCATAAGACCTAGCTAAACAAAAATAACATAGTTTATGCGTAACATATATTTACACAAATCAGAAAATCCTTGAGTCAAAGAGTGAATTCCTTGTATCTGTATCAGTATCAGCAAAAGCTTTGATTATGCTTAACAACATACTTTTCAATATGGATAGATTGAGTAACTTATTTATATTATATTTTTTATGTCAGGTAAAGAGCTTTATTTCAGGCTCAATATATATCAATCCTTTTATCATAAGATAATTTGAAATAATAAAGCGTCGATATAAAGTTTATCTTTTAACATTTTCAAGGTTTTAGATTGTGGTTAATTTTTGAGTATTAAATATCGTTTTGTAATTTTCTATAAATATCTATTTTATCTATAAATATCTAACCCTTTAAATATTGTCACTATGCGGCTCTTTAAAGGTTAATAATGCGAGCTTACTTGTTCTTATGAAGAGTATACGAATAATAATCTTATTATTTCTCTTTAAAATTATTAAAATTTTACCATGCTTTTCGATCTGAAAGATATATAAAATAATTTTTAGACACATATATTTATTATAATGGACAAAAAAAATTATTACATTACTATAAGAATATTCATATATATTTATCAATTGCAACTTTATATGTATTGGATAAAAATATATATTAAATATTTATTAAGTATTCAGATTGCTTAAATCAATTTTTTTTAATTTTGTTGACATATTAAAAATATATAATAGCTAAAATAAATATTATGAAAAATGTGAAACACATAGAATTAGCACATTTAAATTTTTTCTCTGATTCAAAATAAGTCTATCTTTTTATATATGTCTGGCTGTAAAAAGCTTAAATACATATTTAGAGATGTTTATATATTTTATTACTTTTTACTAAACTTTGAAAAAAATTTTGAATAAATAAAAATTCAATTTGTCAACAAAAAAATGATATAAGCTTGTGATTATAATCTATAAGCCCTTCAGCACTTAAGCAGATTTAGATACAACTTTTAATTCATTTAACTTAAAATCATGGGACTAATTGATAATTATCAAAGAATTCTAGTTATTTGGAATACTTTTTCATAAAAAATTACGATATGTGATAAGAAAATTGATAAAAATAACTTAAAAGTTTTAGGCATTTCAAAATAGGTTTATTGCTTTAGTCTATTTATAGAAATATATATAGAAACTGTAATTAAAAAATTTTCATAAATATAATATAAATATACATATGCGCAATAGTATTAATATATGATTTATAAAAAATATTTAGCATTTGAGTCAAAATCTTGCCCTAAAATTCTAAAGAATATTCTATATGCAATTCGCTGCTCAGTAACTTTATTATTATAATTTAAAAATATTTCTATTTATTTATTTTTTTTTTTTGCATTTTCGCTTAAATAGTTTTATTTTGTTCACTTTGCTGCCGTCGCCGTCGTCGTTCCATCCATCGGTCACCCCTGTGGTGAATGCTTTGGCTGCTTGGCTGGCTCTTCTATTTATTTCCATTTTCTTTTTGTGTTTTTTTCTGGTGCCTTTTCTTTCATGTTTACTACAAAAGCGACCATGGCAAATGAAGAGGCTGCTCAGAGTGCGACTGAGCTTGGGGGCAGAGGCTAAAGCTGTTGGCTGAGGCCCGTGTGCTGAGGCCGCGTCCCGGCCAAAGGGCATCCAGATGCAATTCTCTTGTGATTCTTGTGAGCATTTTAGCTCGAATCGCAGGCAAGCATGAGAATTTAATGAGCAGCATTGAAGCTTTGCAGTTGAAGCTTTAATCGAAGCCATAGCCAGAGCGCTAAACACCTATTGAATTATTTAGCAAACAATTTAATAATTGTGAAATAATAATGCAAAATGTGCCGTGAATTGGAAAGCGTTTTGCATTTATTTTCATTTGCCATTTGCGGTTTTCTGGCCAAATAACAACAGACAAACGCATTTTACGCATTGTTATTGCACTCGAGCTGCGCAATTTTGAATTGGTTTTGTTTGGCTTCGGTTTCGGCTCGCATTGTTCGGCCGGCAGTTATATCGATGGTGCACTGTTTTGTTTGATTATTGAAATTTGCTTTGGCAGGGTACACATCGTACTCTATTTGCATAAGATATTCGCATTTGTAGGGCTAAGTTTTTGCTCAATTATTTAGTGATCAATTTATGTGTTTGCCCATAACGTCTAATTAACAAATATACGACGAAATACAAATTGAATTTCTGCTTTGGCATGGCATTGGAAACTCAAATTCAATTGTCTGATTAACCAAACAGCAAAAAATCAGCACGGAGCTAATCACAAGCCGGAGAGCCACAGTTTCCACAAAGCTCAATTAATTGAGGTCAAGTCGGAGCAAGTTTTCTGCTTACTAATTGGACTTATCTATTATTTGGCTTTGGGTATTTTGCATAATTGAACTGTCTAAATAGAGTTGGCTATTGCAAGTGCTGCCAGTTTGCTTGCGAGCTTGCTGGCTTGCTTGCGAAATTTGTTTTGATCGACCGCAAAAGAAAATAATTCCATGCGACCAATTTCGTTACTCATACGACGTGTTGCCCACATACGACCATAATAATGCCTGTGCGTCTGGCTTCAATTTCAAATGTAAATATACATTTGCATTCCACAGCCAGACAATCGAAATTGATGTATATAAATGTGTATAACTCTGCGCTTATTTGTTTCTGTTGTGGTGCTCTCAATGTTCATATAAATTTATATTATATTTATTTATTTATATTTGCAATTGCCAATTTTAAAATCATTTTTAAAATTCTCATATTATCATTATTTAAATCAATTTCGTTTAAGTAAAGAAAAGCTTTTCATACTCAATCACGAAGTGAAAGGGTATATTGGTTTTGTACAATGTCTTGCTGTTCGACCGTAAACTATTTCGCTGCAAATGAAGCAGAGAATTGAAATATGGAATATTTCTTAAAGATGTAAGCTGTAGCAAACGGGGCTTGGCAAATTGGGAAATACTAAATTTGATATATCAGAGACGCTATTAGTTCAAGTGTTAGATACTTGAAGTATGGATTATTAAAAAAATATAATGGAAATACTTACTCCCAATGGGGGCGTGGCAAAACAGGTAAAAGTGTATCTCTCATAGTTTTATAGTTAGAAACTCAAAGTTACTCTTGATTCTCTCTATTGACTTACCAGAAATTCTGTATATATGCCTCTTGAAGGCGTGGAAAATCTGGCAAAACAATATGTTCCAAAATTTTGGAGCTGGCAGCGCTTAGATCGTGAATGAGCGTTGCGCTCGACTGCAATAATCTTAATTGTTTAATATTAAAATCAAATGCATTAATCTAATTGAGAGCTATTAAACAGCTACATTTGATGAATTTTCCTTCTACTTTTGCTCAGGTAAAAATACATACCTGGGCAAATATGCTTATAAGCATGGCTAAGCATATTTGAATATAAATACTCATAAAATTTGTATATAATTTGGAAGGTCTTTCTATGGAGTTATTGATAGTAAAAGCAAAATATGAAAAGTTTTCGAGCAATTTCAGAAGCATCAACACACAACTTCCTTTTATAATTCTTCAAATTACTCAATAAATAAATTTCGAATATAATTTTTGAAGCCCATTAGAGAGTATTATATGCAATCAGACAAACATAAGTCCAACTCACATCCAACTTAAAATTTGTGTTCACAGCTTTTTGAACATGAATGGCAACCGCGCAGCTGCCACGCGTTTCAACAATCGGGAGTAACTATAGCCAAATTGATTGATAGTTGAGGGCGGAGTGAAGGTGAAGCTCCATGACAACAGCTGTCAGCAAAACATGCAGCGAAGCGCACGATTTTGATGAACTTATTAAAATTGACAACGAAGAAATGTTCTTGAACAAGCTAACATTGATTAAAGTAGTTGGCCTTAAAGCATTTGGCCGTTGAGCTGGCCAAACTGTCTGGTTTAACTTTTGGCCGGGCACAGCGGATGTAATTTCCAGCGAGAAGTTGCCTGGCACATGTTTCACTGGCTGCGAGGGCGTCCATAAATCTAACAGTGTGGGCGTCAACTGGGCCGCCATCTAGCTGGCTATCTAACTATCTAACTATCTAACTATCTAACTATCTAGCTATCTACATGGTAGTTGCCCGTGGTAGTTTGCCTGCCTGTCTGGGCTGGCAGTCTGGCAGTCTGGCAGTCTGGCATTACGTGCAAATAGTTACGTGAAATTATTTCCGGCATCGTTCACTAATATCATTCTGTTTGAGTTTCTTTCCAATAGACTTGCAAGGAAGTTGCATTCAACCTTTCAAGTTGAAGCCTGCCAAGGCAAACATTAAAAACTACTAAGTTCAAGTCGAATGCAGTCGAAATGCCTTCATTTGTGACTGCGGACCAGCAGCTGTGGAGCTTTAAAATAAGTCTTAAATATATATATTATTTTTCGCTCAGACCTATAAGCTTACCATCTGACTGACGTGGACGGAGCTCAACTGCAAGATACCCAAGTGCTCAAAATCAGTACATCAAGAGAATATAATTTTTACCATCATAATTATCGTATTAGCATAATCGTCACTTCATTATTATTATCATCATTATCGTTATGACTGTAATTATCATCAAAGAAGTCCGCAGACTGCTGTACGCTGTACTGATTGAAGCTAAACACCAAAGGGACT